GGTGGGTTATATAATTATTTCCACACACACACACACACACACTCACACACACACACACACACACACACATACACACACATACACACATACATACACACACACACACGAATGCTAAACACACACGCACACACACACACACACACACACGTAATTACACACATAACACACACACACGTAATTACATACACGCATACACCACATACACTCACATACTTTATAATATATACATATATATATATATATATATATATATATATAATTAAAAAATGAATCACTTTTGGATTTAATTATGAAAGGTTATTATTAAATGAATTAGTGGCCGGAAGTTTTAATGAAATGTAATGAGGAGAACTTTTAATTAATCCCGACATCATCACTAGTTCAATCTAACAAACATCTTAGTGATGATGATGAGAATAATGATGAGGATAATAATGATGAATGATTGTGATGATGATGATGATGAATGATTGTGATGATGATTATGACGATGATAATTAGGATAATAATGATGAATGCGATGATGAGGATGAAGGATTGTGATGATGATAAGGATGATGATGACTGTGATGATGATGATGATGGCGATGAAGATGATGATGGCGATGAAGATGATGATGGCGATGAAGATGATGATGATGATGAATACAACGATGACCATGACGATGGTAATAACAACAATGTTAGTGATAACAACAACGACGACGATGATGATGACGATGATGGTGGTGATGATAATGATAACTAACAAGAGTGGTGGCAGTCTGTCAGGGAGAGGGCGTCGTTTAGGACCCCCCCGCATATCAAACAGCTGATGCTACTTCGGATCGATGCATATGTCAATCTCGTTTCACTGAACATTTTCCAGTGTTGTTGTTGTTGTGGCTACTTGTGTTGTTGTTGTTGTGGCTGCTTGTGTTGTTGTTGTTGTGGCTGTTGTTGTTTTTGTGGTTGTTGTGGCTTTTGTTGTTGTTTTTTACCGAAGCTGTTGTGTTGTTAGTATTGTTATTGTTGTGTTGCTGTTTTTGTATTGTTTTGGTGTTACTGTTGTTGTTATCTTTGTTGTTGTATGCTGTTGTTATTGCTGTTGTTTACGTTGTTTATGTAATTGTTGTTAGTGCGCTTAGGATAAGTTAAGGAAGTTGTTGTTGTGGTTAATTTTGTTGTTGTTAATGTTGTTGTATGTTGTTGTTGTTAATTTTGTTGTCTGTTGTTGTCTGTTGTTGTTGTTAAAGTTGTTGTTGGTTGCTGTCGGTTATCATAGAAAACTTTCCTCCATCACCTAATTGAATGTTTAATTAATTAATTGATTAAAACATTTTGAAAACAACTGTTAATTTGTTTTAATTTGGAATTTCTATTTAATTTTAATAAAAAAAAATATCAAAAATAATAATCATTCCACTCATAAAAATAAAAACCATTTAACTACTTTTAATTAAGACGTGAATGAATGAAGGTACAACAAAAGAATGAAGGAAGAATGAATGAATGAACGACAGAAGAAATAGATGAATGAATGATACATTTGTCACACAACAATAATAATAAATAAATAATGATCATCTTATTGTTTCATTGCCATCTTTAACTAAATGAGCCAACACACATCTCGTGATGAAATGAACTTTTAGCAACAAAACTCGACACGCACGCCAACACACACGCACACATGAACACACACACACATGAACACACATACGCGCACATGAACACACATACGTGCACACGAACACACACGCAAAAACACGCACACGTGAACACACATAGAGAATAATAAAGAGAGATACCAAGCAGGCACAGACAAAGGCAAACACACAAACAAACAAAAACACATAAATACACAAACAAACACATACAAACGCACGAAAACACACACACACATACATGCACAAACAAACAAACACACATACAAACGCACACATACAAACACACACACGAACATACAAACACACACACGAACATACAAACACATACAAACGCACACATACAAACACACACAAACGCACACATACAAACACATACACACACGAACATACAAACACACACATACACGCAGCTGAATGACATCTGTTTCGCAGTGGTGATATTGTTATTAATTATTTGCGTGTCACTTGGATGATTACGACTTATCTGT